TATTATCTGTTTCAACCAATCCTGTGCATATTTTGAATAATTTAAATAAATAGGCTATTAGCTATATATTTATGTTTTATGTATTAACTTAAGAGTAACTAGATTTTCTATATTTCATCAAAGTTATTTTAAGAATAATTTCATCCTTGGTACCTGGAACAAAAGTTACTTGAAAGGAGAAGAAAATACTGTAGTTTGTAATGTGCATTTGTGGTGTTAGTCAGTTTTTGTTTCACTTTAACACTAGAATTCATCTTGATGGCTGACTGCACTTGAAACCACTTCCTGTTTTCTGCTCTATAATTAACACCTCTTGCATTTTACTGTGACATTCTCCTTCCTGCTCTCAAGAATATAATTGTTGGTTTTATCTGCTATATAATAATTCCTTTTTTCTGATATTTTTCAATAAGTCTCAAAAACTTACTGTTCATAACATCATTTTTGGAATGTGTTCTGCATTGTGTCCTGTAACATTATGGATAAACATAAGGTAGGCTGTTTTCTGACTAAGAAACTGCTTTAGTGTCATGATAAAATCTGAGAGCTGATCAGACAGAGACGCATTGTGGCCACTGGGTGAGCCTAAATGAAACCATGACAACATGACTCATGAATTCCCCCTTTTGCTCTCTCATCTACCAGTATCAAAAGAAAAAGGAAGTAGTTAAGGCCACCTCTTAATTGATTTGATTGGCTGCCTGGGTCTTTTTTTATAAACATAAATCATAAATGATCAAAAGAGTAAGTAAAAGTACTTCACCCTAAAATGTAATTCTTGAGCTTACAATATACCATCTACCATAAGACTACCATTGCTGTGGTCCCCCCTCCCCAAGTTGCTTTAAAAGACAAAGCACTTCCTTATTTGCTGCATGTCAGAATGGAGACCATTTCGTATGTGTGTGCGGTTTTCCTGCTGTATCTGTGTCAACTGCAAGGTAAAACACACTTTTTATATTTAATTAATATTTCCTATTTTGTTTTATGTTCTGTAGAACTAAATCAGTGAAGAATGGGAGAAGTGGAATATAGATCAGAGGGTGAGGATAATTGACCATTATCGTCTCAACTGGTGTAATTACTTGGCTCATAACTCCAAAATAACTGCACACGTTACCTCCCGGGGATCAATAATATGGAGGACTAAAAGTGCCAAAGTTAAATAAATAAATACACCATTAAATAATTACTTAAATGTGTCATTAATTAATTAAAATTGGAATTAAATACATAAATGTGTTATTAAATGTGTCATTAATTCATTCAAATACCGATTCATTTTATTTAAAAAACATATATAATTATTTCACTATTTATTTAATTGTTTCATGGTCCTGTGTTGCAGTGCTTCATGAATTACTTTTATCTGTCAAACTCGCCCAATTTTAATTAATTAATGACACATTTAAGTAATTATTTCATATAATAAAGTGTTTTTGATTCAATCAATAGCATATGATAATTGAAGCAGTCTGAGTTAGCTAAATCAAGTGGATTATTTCTTTTAATTGATAGTGACAGGAAAGGGGAGGGGGGGCTGCAGGTCGGATTTGAACCCTAGGCCAGTGCAGCAAGGACTCAGCCTTGTGTGGAAACATGGTACATGGGGCACCGGTTTCTCCTGGCGCCCATAAGAGGTAGTCCTTTTTTACCAAGCAGTTTAAACCTCGCTGTACTGTATATGATGGATTACAGTTCATCTTGTAAGATTGAAACCTCCTTATAACCAAGTGAGATACACAAACAAAGAATTAGGCTACAGTAATCCCAGCAGTTATTCAAATGAAACATACAATGCAAACTAATATTACATTGTAATGTGGAAGAAGAGAGACTCTCATTGTCCATATTTGTAGAAGTGTTGCTGCACTTATAGCTGCTGCTAACCCATTTCCTTAGTGGTTTGATCAGTGTTAGACCGTTCATGGGCTGTGTTCACACAGTTTCCACCTACACTTTTCTTTGTATAATCTTCATGAAAATCGAATGCCATACACGTATATGTACACTGAACAAAATTATAAACACTTTTGTTTTTGCCCCCATTCGTCATGAGCTGAACTCAAAGATCTAAGACTTTCTCTATGTACACAAAAGGCCTGTTTCTCTCAAATATTGTTCACAAATCTGTCAAAATCTGTGTTAGTGAGCACTTCTCCTTTGCCAAGATAATCCATCCACCTCACAAGTGTGGCATATTAAGATGCTGATCAGACAGCATTGGTATTGCACAGGTGTGCCTTAGGCTGGCCACAATAAAAGGCCACTCGAAAATGTGCAGTTTCACTGTATTGGGGGGTGCAGGGGGGTCCGGAGGGGTCCGGAAACCAGTCAGTATCTGGTCGTGCATTATCATGCTGCAACATGAGGTGATGGTCGTGGATGAATGGCACAACAATGGGCCTCAGGATCTCGTCACGGTATCTCTGTGCATTCAAAATGCCATCAATAAAATGCACCTGTGTTCGTTGTCCATAACACACGCCTGCCCATACCATAACCCCACCGCCACCATGGGCCACTCGATCCACAACGTTGACATCAGCAAACTGCTCACCCACACGACGCCATATATGCTGTCTGCCATCTGCCCATCGGTGGTGAGGCCGGTTGGATGTACTGCCAAATTCTCTGAAACGCCTTTGGAGACGGCTTATGGTAGAGAAATGAACATTCAATTCACAGGCAACAGCTCTGGTGGACATTCCTGCAGTCAGCATGCCAATTGCACGCTCCCTCAAAACTTGCGACATCTGTGGCATTGTGCTGTGTGATGGAACTGAACATTTTTGAGTGGCCTTTTATTGTGGCCAGCCTAAGGCACACCTGTGCAATACCCATGCTGTCTGATGAATACCCATGCATCTTGATATGCCACACCTGTGAAGTGGATGGATTATCTCGGCAAAGGAGAAGTGCTCACTAACACAGATTTTGACAGATTTGTGAACAATATTTGAGAGAAATAGGCCTTTTGTGTACATAGAGAAAGTCTTAGATCTTTGAGTTCAGCTCATGATGAATGGGGGCAAAAACAAAAGTGTTGCGTTTAAAATTTTGTTCAGTGAAGTTTAAACATAAATGTGAAAAGTGGTAAGAGTAACACAGAGTGCAGTGGAAAGATACCGCCCTCCAAGTGTCACTGCAGCCACAGCTGAGACACGTGTGAGACGCACGTCTCAATTTGTTAGCATCGTGGCAAAATAAAAATCGACAAGATGCAGACACGGACACGGTCTGTGTGAACCACACATAATTCTGTTGGGGAACAGCTGCACCAAACAGGACTGGCTCAGACCAAGGGTTAAATATAAAATAATATAATTTATTAATTAAAAAATTTAAATATTTTGCACTCAAGTGTCCATACAGTCTTTGCAGCTTGTAAGTTTTCTTACAGGAGCCTCCAACGCAGTCTTAATGTAAAGCAATAAGGAATTTAAGGCAGTTACAGAAGTACACCTTCACTTATTGTTACAGATTCCTACCTGGGTATTTACATGCTCTGCTTATCAGCAGGTGTTTTGTTGAATAATTGAATAATACACAAGAATAACTCCAAACCACAACATTAACCAAACCAAACCTACTATGCAGACTAGAATAGCTGAGCTGTAAGGGAAATGTTTCTGTGTGCACGTTTGTGCCAATTATTTATTTCATTAACTGTAGCAAGCAGTTTTATTCTGGAGTAGTTTTGAAGAACTGACTTTTCTAAACACAAATGGAACTATATAAAATCTTTCAGTGCCTTTAAAGACAACTCATATAACAGCAACAACAATCTGTCCCTCTGTGGTTAGTGTTAGGTGACTAAAACAGCTTTGCTAAGGTTAGAGAAAGATAGTGGTTAAACGAAACATTTTGCCATTAGAATAATTTAAAAGGGCTATAAACAGGCACATGATCCTTATTTAAAATCCATCTTTCTGTGTGGAGTTTGCATGTTTTCCTTGTGTTTGTAGTTTAAATTTTTTTTTGTTGAATTTCATGTGAACAGGTGAACAATAATGTGGGTAAATTAAAGTCCCCAGTTTTCCAGGAGAGACTCTGTTATGTTGAAAATAAAAATAAAAACTTTATGTAACATCTTACTTTCATTGGACCTTTGTTAAACTCCTCTATATCAATTCAAGGCACTTTTAAAGACATTTTCCAACCCTTGATGAACCATGATAAGCTGCAAGTGCTTCTTCATTTCAACAGATGATCCAGTTTGTTAGACATATAGTAGGAATGGAGTAACATTCAGTTTTGACCAGATAATCTTATATTGTATATAATTATTGTATTATGTGTGTTTTACAGGGTCCAGTGCTGTGACTCCTGTGTTTGTGCAGAAGGGAAATTATGTTCTTCTAAATGTCATGAAAGCTGATGTTCTTCAGGACGTTTTTTCTGTTGTGTGGAAGTTCAATAAAAAGGATGTTTTAGTAAGATTTTCACCTGGTAGAGAACCAACAGTCTCTCCTGCTTACACTGGAAGAGTTGAGTTTTCTGTGAATGATTACTCTCTGAAAGTGAAGAATCTACAAGAGGCAGACAGTGGAGTTTATACTGCACGAGTGACAGGGGATATACAGGAACAAACTGAATACAACATCACTGTTCAAGGTAGGTTTGTGAACATTTCAGACACTAATAGAGAGTTTCTGCTGTCATGTTTCTAAAACATTTCACACAAACTTCCATCCTCAGATGCAGAAGCTCAGACTCCTGTAACCTCACTGTGACCTGCAGTACACAGGACTCTCACATCAGCAGCACTTTTAGATGTGACACCAAAACCTGCAGTCAGGAGGGAGGAGAGCAATCAGAGGTCACAACATCTGGTGCTTCTCTCCATGTCTACCTGGTGGATGGCTCAATCATCTGTAACCACAGCAACCAGGTCAGCTGGACCAAAGACATTGAAATGACTGAACATTTCTGCCCTCAACATGCTGGTGAGAGTGATTGAGTGTCCAGAAGCTCAGACTTCTGTAACCTCACTGTGACCTGCAGTACACAGGACTCTCACATCAGCAGCACTTTTAGACGTGACTTTTTTTTTTCTTATAATCTAATCTTAATATAGACATATTTGTGTTTAGAAATTTACGTAAAGTATTTCTGATTCTGATTTTGATTTTGCATTTGCTTTGGCAATTTAAATGTCTGTTTATGCCAATTAAGACCATTTGAATTGAACTGAATTGAATTGAAAATCGATTGACAACAATTGATTGACTCAGTTAAATAATAACCTGACACATTTCTTTTGACCAATGCAGTGTTTGCCAATGAACGTGCTATTTGTCTCTGTTATTATATTACATTCTCCTGTACAACACTTTGGTCAACTTTGGTTGTTTTTAAAGTGCTTAACAAATAAAGTTGGATTGGATTGGATATGTATAGAGCATATTGACCAGTCCTGGAATGTTATTGTTTGAATATATATATTTAAATGCCTGTTAAATTAACAATGCATTAACATAAAACTATCATCATGGTGTTTAACAATAATGCACAAACAGTAAAACTCAGCTGCACTATGCATGTATTTTGAAATGTAGGAATTACAGTACTGGAGTAAACTACAAAGTACACAAACTGTTATTCAAATACAGTGAGAGGAATAACTAATTTGTTGCTTCCACTCCTGTTGCTGCAGTGTCACAGTGTAGATCAGTTTTGTAATGAAACTATCTGTTTTGTTGTGTTTCAGGTTCAGAGTGTGTCTCTGCTGGTATCTCTGTGTGTCTGGTGAAGACAGTCGTGTTCTCTGTCGGTCTGATCATCATGGTGTCTGCCGTCATCAGTGTTCATATCATGGAGAAGCTCAAGAAGCACAAATAAACAATTCTCTCTACCAAACCAATTTCTTAACTTTATTTTGACATCTCAAAATATACAAACCAAGTAAACCAATACATTAACTGAAAATGTTGAGGAAAATACAAAAAGGTTAGAAAAATAACTTTCCATTTCCACTGTGGAGCAATTTTTTTTACCACTAGCAGCATTATGGAGCAGTTGTTTTATGAGTGAGTGAGTCTCTGTTTTGTCTGTATTGTGCATGTCCAAGTCTGCACATTCCTGCCACTGATTTCATGCTATTTCACTGACGGACAGTTGGTGGCTGTAACACACCAAGAAATGTAAGTAGAGGAAGCAGAAGTCTGAAAGTCAGAAAACGTGGATGTAACCAATGCAGGATATAAAATATTTGTGAAAATTGGCCATTTCAAATGTTTTAGGAGGGAAATAAAAATAAAACAAATGCAGATAATTTTTCTTTGATTACCCATTGAATCTACCCAATAATGACTGTGCTCCCTTTGTAAATAAAATGATTGTACAGAGATGACCATGATAGAAAATGCTTTTATATTATATTAAAAAAAGAACAACAGCATACAATAAATGCTGTATGTAATACTGTGGTCCTATTTACAATATTCTCAAAAAGATCTCATGTATGTACATTTAATAAAATCCAATGTTAATGTGACCAAAACACTGGTAATTGACAATATTTAATCTTTTTCTTTAACTAAGTAAAGCACTTTCTGGTACATACACCATTGTTGGACACGAGTTAAAGCTGTATAATTATCTTTTATGAATTAATGAGGTCAAAAGATCTTGTGTCTCTGATCTCTTTTTACTTACTTTATACTGCTAAACTGCATTTCATTGTCTCAGTACTTTTACACAATGATAATGCCAATAAAGTTTAATCCAATCTGAATCTAATATTGTGAGTTTTTCAGCAAGAAATCGATCAGAGCTCGTCAGAGTCAACTGAGGGACCACTGATACACTGAATGCGCAACAACAATGAATAACAATTATGAACTGAACTTTTATTGAAATGATTTTCAACTCTTCAAGGATAAAGCATTTGATTTTAAATGGGATTTTCAGTTGAAGTCTAAACTATTCAAGTACCTATAATTCTGCAACAGGAAATTATTTAAATTACTTGTCAACTCTCCGTCAGGAGGGAGGAGAGCAATCACAGGTCACAACATCTGGTGCTTCTCTCCATGTCTACCTGGTGGATCACCTCATCATCTGTAACCATAGCAACCAGGTCAACTGGACCAAAGACACTGAAATGGCTGAACATCTTTGCATCCAACATGGTAAGAATGAAAACAAACCACTTGCTGATAATAATGTAAAGTTTGGAATTATATTTAACTGACTGTGAGCATTTTGTTTTGAAAGTAAATAAGTTAAGAACATGAATAATCCACCTGTGTGGCTGAAGGGTTGAAATACAAACTAAAGTAGAAAGTACAGAAAGGAAGAGAGTTCTGGTGGCCAAAATTACCTCACTGAGTTGAACAATTAAGTGTAGAGTTTTTGGTGCAAAACAAAATTATGTTTGTTTTCATCTCAACATTATCTATTACTGTACAGACCTCAGGTGAGATCCCAGGGGGAGGAAATGGGGCATCGGCTCTAGGAATCACTGGCATCACACTAAATACTAATCCTAAACATAGAAGCTTTAAAGTTTGCTGCTGTGTGGAGTAATTTAGACACATCCAAAATGTATAGGTGCAGCTAAAGTTATATAAATGTAATGTGGTTAAGTAGTAGAAGTAAAGCTCTCACGTAAAGCAACATGTATTCTTTATGACCTGCAGACAAAAAAGAGAACACCGAAAATACCATATATGCAGTTACTAAGGTAAGTGTCAAGTTTTTTTTTAACATCACATAACTTGCCAGACAAACCAGCAAAACCTGATGAAAAATGCCTAAAAATGTGTTTTACAGCTGTTTCAATTACGAAATTAATATGAAAAACATGCTTCTCACTTTTGTAGCCAATGATACAAAAACATTTTTTTAGTTTTTGGTGGATATATATGAGCTCATGTGGATACTAAGATAACTTCAAATGTGTATGCAGTATAACAACACCATTAGAAATACAGTGTAAAGTAAAAATGGCGAAAAAGGTTCACTAAAAATGTTGTATGTGATGTATTTTGCAGATGGAAGCTGTGGCCCAGCCTCCGGATCCAAGTAATGATTCTCAGTATAAACTACACTGTCTCTTGTAGATTATTTATTTTAAGGGAGTAATCATTCACAGAAAACTCATCTCTTCCAGTGTAAGGAGGAAGACTGTTGGTTCTCTATCAGGCGAAAATCTTACTAAACATCCTTTTTATTGAAGTTCCACACAACAGAAAAAATGTCCTGAAGAACATCAGTTTTCATGACATTTAGAAGAACATCATTTCCCTTCTGCACAAACACAGGAGTCACAGCACTGGTTCTGTAAAACACACATAATACAATAATAATTACACACAATATATGATTATTTGGTCAATACTGAATGTTACTCCATTCCTAGTTCATGTCTAAAGCAGGCTTCATATTTCAACCAGTGACCATCATAGTCACTTTGGACTTCACATTATGATAACATTTACTTCAATATGTTCAGTATCCTAAGGACTCTCTTATTTCCCAGTGTGTACATCCTCGACTCCTCTCCTGGCATCTTAGTCCCTCCCACCAGAGATGTGAGCAGAGAAAGCGAGGAGTCAAGGCAACAGGCATTTAACAAATTAAGATGTCCTTACTTCAGAGTCAACTACTGCACAGCTGCATCATCTTCCCATTATTTTCTTATAGACTACCGCTGTATTTTACTCTGTCAGATGAGCAGAACAGTGTTCATAACAGTAATTATAAATTTACTTTTAATTCAATTCATAACTTGGAATAATGTGACAAGAATGTAGTCTATGGATGTCATAATAATGTTCCCTACTGCGCCAAACTCACTTAACAATGCTTAACATGTCCGTAACAACAAGGTACTCTATCATAAGATAAAGTGTGTCAGATGTCCACAGTCTTCTTGTCAATTAGGTAACAATGTAATCCATAAAGTTAAACTTTCTGACTATTCTGTCACCTGAACTTGCTACAGTGTCTGTTGTAAATTGGAGACTGTGGGATTGAGAGGCAGACCATATTATTTATCACTAAAATAGGTGCTGGCTGTTGGATTAAATATATGCAGAATTAAACACAGACTCTGTTATTATGTGTGTGTTAATGTTTGAAGAGTTTTGGCCATTGCAATAGTAACTACCTGTATGAAGGACAATGAAAAGACTTCCGCAATGGAAACACCTGTATATTCTCGCGTGAAATGATTGTATACTTCATGTACTCCGGGGTGCTTCCCACAGCAATGGCCTCCCGTGGAAGAATCTGCAACTTCACTGCTCTGTGCCACTAAATCCTGAACTCTGATCCTTCAAACTGTTTTTTGTTAAATTCTACACAAAGAAGCAGGAAATATTTATGAAATGACTCCATTTTGTGTTTCTTTCCTTTTAAATTCTTAGAAATCAGTCCCTCTCTTTCGATATATAATCATTTGGTTAATGTTTTGCATGGTTAAACATACAAAGGAAGGCTCAATAATATTCTCTTCCCAACTTCCTGATAAAATAGCACATTGTATCAGACAGCACATACAGGCTTTGTGTTGTAATCGTAAAGTAAAATCTAAAGTCGTGGTTCTCAATTCATAAATCACAATAAAGAAGTCTGACCCTGCATTGCTCTATCTGTTAATAACTTTTCATTAGACAGTGTCATTATCCTACCTGGTGCCTCAGTGCAGACCAGCAGTCCCAGTATCACAAAGATAGACATTATAGAGTCTCTGACTGGTTTCCCTGTCGGACTACAATAATGTATGTGTTCTGTTTTGCTCTAACAGACACAACACAGGGTTAAAGTCTTTTCAAAGCTGTATTTTTCCTGTCAAACCACACACAGTTTCACAATGTGAGCATGATGTGATAAAGCTAACTTCTCTATTTAGAGTCTCTCTTCAAGCTGTTTGACTTCTTGGTATTTGTTGATAGAGAATGAAATGGAAACAGATCTGAATGTAAAAGTTTATGAAAAGATGATAAACAAGAGTCGTATTATCTGTTAGTCCAGGGGAAGAGAGGCGCAACAATTAATAATTAACCAGGTGTTAAAGAAAGGAAACAGAAAGATTTGTACTAGTAAACTATTTATTTAAACGTAAATGAGTTCAATAAACAAAAAAAACATTTAAACTAAACAAACCAACCATTGGTCCAACAAATAAATATGAATAATGCTATCCCTCCACTGAGGGAGTAATGATAATGACACACGACACAGAGCACCATACAGCTCTGCTTCACAACCGACAGCCTCACAACACCATCTTGTGGTTTGGCCCACTGGCCTCGTCTGCTTCCGTTGTCGTAGTTTTAAAGCAATCTTATGATCGTTAAATCTACTGCAGGTGTGCCTGACCAGTCGGAGGGGAGGGCAGTACCTGGAACAGGGCACAGGACAGAGCAGAGGCAAAACACACATACGTAACACAACTAATCCTCTGCATATTATGAAAAATTAAATGAATAGGCTATTAGCTATATATTTATGTTTTATGTATTCACTTAAGAGTAACTAGTTTTTATATAGTTCATCAAAGTTAGCTTAAGAATAATTTCAAATTTGGTACCTGGGTCAAAAGTTATTTGAAAGAGGAAGAAACAACTGTAGTTTGTACTGTGTATTTGTTGTGTTAGTTCAGTTTTTGATTCACTATAACACTAGAATTCATCTTGGTGGCTCACTGCACTTGAAACCAATTCCTGACATTGTCCTTCCTGCTCTCTCTTTTATCTGCTCTCTGTCCCTCATCAGTATGTCACACTGAGACGTCTCGTCTGAAATCATAGAGGATCTGTGCTGTAGGCCAAAGGGTTTTGTCTTTCACTCTCATGTGGAAACTGACTTAACAACCATCAACAAGAAGCCTTTATGTCTGGGTGCTGGTAAAAGGCCAGCAGCTGTTAATAGGATGCTTAAACGTAGCCCACTGTCCCAGAATAAATGTATATTTTAAAGTTACCAATGGCAAAACAGAAAAAATACTTTTTTAACATTGGTCCTATTGTGTAATACATACATTTATTATCTTTAAAGAAAAACATGGCAGAGTATTGGATACAAGGCAAGGCAGTTTTATTTATATATGCACATTTCTTAACAGGAACACACAGTCATGCTATAATGTGCTCTTCTAAATGACAAATTTTTTGTTAAATTATGCTTTAAAATTTTAATATATATATATATATATATATATATAAGTTGAAACACACTACATACTTAATTTGTAGTCATACGTAGTAAGAATAGTATGTTAGTGCTCAGTAATATAGTATATGTGAAGAGTTGTGCAATATATTCCGGTATTCCCTCCTCCTCATGGAAGTTGCTTTAACAATCACTTCCTCATTAACTCATAACTCCAAAACAACTGCACACGTTACCTCCCGGGGATCAATAAAGTGTTTCTGATTCAATCAATAGCATATGATAATTTAAGCAGTTTGAGTTAGCTAGATCAAGTGGATTTTCCAATGGTAGTCTTTTTAAAATAAAAAAATAATAATTTACTTGTATCCTAGGTATGTGTCTTAAACATAACAATATTAGATAAGATACAAAATACCAAGCAGTTTAAACCTTGCTTTACTGTATATGATGGATTACAGTACATCTTGTAAGATTAAAACCTCCTTATAACCAAGTGAGATACACAAACAAAGAATTAGGCTACAGTAATTCCAGAAATTATTGAAATGAAACATACAATGCAAACTGATATTACATTGGAATGTGGAAGAAGAAGGACTGTCATTGTCCATATTTGTAAAAGTAATGCTGCATTTATAACTGCTGCTAACCCATTTCCTTGGTGGTTTGGTCACTGTTGGACCGGTTCATGGGCTTGTTCACACAGTTTCCACCTACACTTTTTTTTGTATAATGTTCATGAAAAATTGAATGCCATATTTGTATATGTAGTTTAAACATAAATGTGAGCTGAGACATGTGTGAGACGCACGTCTCAATTTGTTAACATGGTGGCAAAATAAAAATCAACAAGACACAAACGCGGGCCGTGTGAACCACAGGGAATTCTTTTGGGGAACAGCTGCATCAAACATGACTGGCTCAGACCAAGGGTTAAATATAAAATCTTAAAAATTATTAGTAAAAAAATATTCTACTGAATCCGGAGATCAGTCCATTTTGATGGTTCAGTCCACTCAAGTGTCCATACAGTCTTTGCAGCATGTAAGTTTTCTTACACCTTCACTTATTGTAACAGATTCCTACCTGGGTATTTACATGCTCTGCTTATCAGCAGGTGTTTTGTTGTACTATAGTGGCTTGCTTCTCAAAACATAAGCAAAAAGAACATAACACAGCAATACAAACAAAATAACAAATTACTCAAGTAAACATGCACAAATAATACCCAAGAATAACCACAACACTAACCAAATGAAAAAATGGAAATGTTTCTGTGTGCACGTTTGTGCCAATTATTTATTTCATTACCTGTAGCAAGCAGTTTTATTCTGGAGTTATTTTGATGAACTGACTTTTCTAAACACAAATGGAACTAGATAAAGTCTTTCAGTGCATTTAAAGACAACTCATATGACAACTACAACATTTTGTACCTCTGTGGTTAGTGGAATAAAACAGCTTTGCTAAGGTTAGGGTAAGATAGTGGTTAAACGACACATTTGCCATTACAATCCTTTAAAAGGGCTATAAACGGCTATAAACAGGCACGTGGTCTTACTTAAAATCCATCTTTCTGTTTGTAGTTTTCATTTTCTTTTTTGTTGAATTGCATGTGAACGGGTGAACAATAATGTGGGTTAAATACACTCTCCAGTTTTCCAGAAGAGACTGAATGGAAAGACTCTGTTATGTTGAAAAGAAAAATAAAGTCTCATTGGACCTCTGTTAAACTCCTCTATCATAAGTTGTGTCTAAAGTCAAAGTCAATTCAAGGCACTTTTAAAGACATTTTCCAACCCTTGATAAACCATGATAAGCTGAAGGTGCTTCTTCATTTCAACAGATGATCCAGTTTGTTAGACATATAGTAGAAATGGAGTAACATTCAGTATTTACCAGATAATCATATCTTGTGTGTAATTTTTATTGTATTATGTGTGTTTTTACAGGGTCCAGTGCTGTGACTCCTGTGTTTGTGCAGAAGGGAAATGATGTTCTTCTGAATGTCATGAAAGCTGATGTTGTTCAGGACGTTTTTTCTGTTGTGTGGACCTTCAATAAAAAGGATGTTTTAGTAACATTCTTACCTGGTAGAGAACCAACAGTCTCTCCTGCTTACACTGGAAGAGTTGAGTTTTCTGAGAATGATTATTCTCTGAAAGTGAAGAATCTACAAGAGGCAGACAGTGGAGTTTATACTGCACGAGTGATAAGGGATATAGAGGAACAAACTGAATACAACGTCACAGTTCAAGGTAGGTTTGTTAACATTTCAGACACTAATGGAGAGTTTCTGCTGTCATGTTTCTAAAACATTTCACACAAACTTCAAACCTCAGATGCAGTGTCTCCAGTTAACCTGAAGGTGGACTCTGTGTCCAGAAGCTCAGACTCCTGTAACCTCACTGTGACCTGCAGTACACAGGACTCTCACATCAACAGCACTTTTAGATGTGACACCAAAACCTGCAGTCAGGAGGTAGGAGAGCAATCAGAGGTCACAACATCTGGTGCTTCTCTCCATGTCTACCTGGTGGATGGCTCGATCATCTGTAACCATAGCAACCAGGTCAACTGGACCAAAGACGGTGAAATGACTGAACATCTTTGCATCCAACATGGTAAGAGTGAAAAACAAACCACTTGCTGATAATAATGTATAGTTTGGAATTATATTTAACTGACTGTAAGCATTTTGTTTTTAAAGTAAATAAATTATGAACATGAATAATCCACCTGTGTGGCTGAAGGGTTTAAATACAAACTAAAGTAGAAAGTACAGAAAGGAAGAGAGTTCTGGTGGCCAAAATTACCTCAATGAGTTGAACAATTAAGTGTAGAGTTTTTGGTGCAAAACTAAAGTATTTTTGTCTTCATTTCAACATTATCTATTACTGTAAACCGCTGTAAACAGTATTTATGCTGTTTGACTAAAGCCAGCCATCATTTTATTTTTTATTTAAAATTTTTTCTATTTTCTAGATTTTCTAATCTGGCTTTTGTTTTTCTTTCCAGTTGCTGAACAACCCTGCAACAACATCATCACTGTCATTGTCCTTGTCATTGTTGCAATTGTTATTTTCATCATTGTTGCTGTGTTTTATCATCGAAAGAGAAGAAAAAATCCAGGTGTGCATTTTAATATAGAATTACAAAATAAAATCTATAAAATTATTTTTGTTTACTGTACAGCCTCCTAGTGAAGTTCATCATCTACTATACAATCCCCCCTTTATTAGAAAATGCAATTACAGTAATCATATACTTAACCCTTTATACAGTTCACAGTATGGGAATTCACAATTGTTCACTCTTTACCATAGCCATTCTTATATGTAGTCTATATGCAGTTGTTTTTTTAATGTGATTAATGCATCTTTCAAATTAGTCAATTACCAGAACTGATTTTTCACTATAGAAAAATGAGACAATCTTAGAGTTGGTACGATCTTTATGGTTTAGCCCATTCACTCTTGGCATCTCCAGGGCAGACTTCAAGTGAGATCCCAGGGGGGAAGAAAATGGGACATCAGCTCTAGGAATCACTGGCATCACAATAAATACAAATCCTAAACATAGAAGCTTTAAAGTGTGCTGCTGTGTGGAGTTATTTAGACACATACAAAATCCGGACTCAATGTATAGATCCAGCTAAAGTTATGTAAATGTGGTTAAGTAGTTGAAGTAAAGATCTCATGTAAAGCAACATGTATTTTTTATGACCTGCAGATAAAAAAGAGAACACAGAAAATACCATATATGCAGTTCCAGAGGTAAGTGACAAGGTTTTTTTAGCATCACATAACTAACCAGACAAACCAGGGAACAGAATTTTTCGGATTTTTAACAACTGAGACTGGATTTGAGGAAACAGGCCAAATAAAGAAATGTTTTCAAAATCAAAAGTTGGAGCCTCACATACTACTATTGGCTATGCCTGTCCGCTCCAGTCGCTATACATTTTACTGACCGGGTGGTGATATTTACTGTACATGACCTGTGACTCCTCGCGACTAACTTCTGCATCTATCTGCTGTTCCAGGTTGTGTTGCTTTCTAGATACACACGTCACTGGTTGTTCTGCTTCCTTGTGCTCAAATGTCCTGCTTCTGACCAGAAAAACCTGATGATGCACCATCCACTCAAACTGCAATGTGTTTCTTTATTCTGCTCACGTGTTGTTTGCTTGTGTTTTATCATAGTTTTTCCATCATTTTGATGCCGTTTTAGAAACAATTTCTGAGAATACTGTGACACGAACACTAAAACAGCAAATACATGTTCCAAAAGGTGTTGTGTTCTCAAAACTCTTCATACAATTATTAATTAAGAACAAAGAGCCAATACTGCAACAATGTCTTTTACTTTAAGTCCTGTATTTTCTTCTCTGTTTGCTTTTGTTTGATGGGCACATTAGGCAACACGGGCAACGTGACTTCATACTGAGCCACAAATGTTGTACTTCTGCATATTCTTACACAATGAATGTTGAGAATATTGTGAGCAGAAGACTCTTTTGTGAAATCTGCACTCAAGAAGAAAAATTGTGTAATTTTCCATCTTTTTATAAATGCAACGTACTGCATGTGTTGTCAAAGCCATGTGAATGCTTTCTTTATTTGCTTGAGTTCTAGTTTCAGTGTGTTGTTAACTGTCACTTCTTTTTGGACACAGTGGAACAATGTTCAGTGCCTTACTGCTCTTGATGAAAAATGCCTAAAAATTTAGTATAATGTTATGAAAATCATTCTTCTCACTTTAGTAGCCAATGATATAAAATTTTGTAGTTTTTGATGGATATCTGTAAATGGTGAGATTACTTCACATGTTTATGCAGTATATCAACACCATTAGAAATACAGTGTAAAGTAAAAATGGCAACTTTTTGTAAAAATGTTGTATGTTATGTATTTTGCAGATGGAAGCTGTGGCAGTATTAAAGGTACTTGAATAGTTTATTGTTTCTAAAAACAGACTTCAACTGAAAATCCCATTTAGAATCAAATACTTTATCCTTGTAGAGTTTAAAAACATTTCAATAATTGTTCCGTTAAGATCAGTTCATAATTGTTATTCATTGTTGTTGTGCATTCAGTGTATCAATGGTCCCTCCGATGACTCTGACGAGCTCTCATCGATTTCTTGCTGAAAAACTCACAATATTAGATTCAGATTGGATTCAACTTTATTGTCATTGTCATTGTGTACAAGTACTGAGACAATGAAATGCAGTTTAACAGTATAAAGAAAGTAAAAAGAGATCAGTTTTGACTTCATAAATTCATAAAAGATAATTGTACAACTTTAACTCGTGTCCAATAATGGTGTATGTACCAGAAAGTGCTTTACTTAGTTAAAGAAAAAGATTAAATATTGTCAATTATCAGTGTTTTGCTCACATTAACATTGCATTTTATTAAATGTACAGGATGTTTTTTCTGTTGTGTGGAAGTTCAATAAAAAGGATGTTTTAGTAAGATTTTCACCTGGTAGAGAACCAACAGTCCTCCCTGCTTACACTGGAAGAGTTGAGTTTTCTATCAATAATTATTCTCTGAAAGTGAAGAATCTACAAGAGGCAGACAGTGGAGTTTAATACTGTACAAGTGACAAGGGATAAACAGGAACAAACTGAATACAACGTCACAGTTCAAGGTAGGTTTGTGAACATTTCAGACACTAATAAAGAGTTTTTGCTGTCATGTTTCTAAAACATTTCACACAAACTTCCATCCCCAGATGCAGTGTCTCCAGTTAAACTGAAGGTGGACTCTGTGTCCAACGGCTCAGACTCCTGTAACTTCACTGTGACCTGCAGCACACAGGACTCTCACATCAGCAGCACTTTTAGATGTGAGACTTTTTTTTTCTTATAATCTAATCAGAATATAGATATATTTGCGTTTATAATTTTACATAAAGTATTTATGATTCTGATTCTGATTCTGATTTAGATTTTGCATTTGCTTTGGCAATTTAAACATCTGTCTATGCCAATTAATCCCATTTGAATTGAACTGAATTGAAATGAAAATTAACAACAACAGTTAATTGACTCAGTTAAATGATGACCTGACACATTTCTTTTGACCAATGCAGTGTTACTGTGTTTGCCAGTGAACATCCTATTTGTCTCTGTTACTATATTACAGTATGTATAGAGCATATAGACCAGTCCTGGAATGTTATTGTTTGAATATATATATTTAAATGCCTGTTAAATTAACAATGCATTAACATAAAACTATCATCATGGTGTTTAACAATAATGCACAAACTCAGCTGCACTATGCGTGTATTTTGAAATGTAGGAATTGCAGTACTGGAGTAAACTACAAAGTACACAAACTGTTATTCAAATACAGTGAGAGGAATAACTGATTTGTTGCTTCCACTCCTGTTGCTGCAGTGTCACAGTGTAGATCAGTTTTGTAATGAAATTTGCTGTTTTGTTGTGTTTCAGGTTCAGAGTGTGTCTCTGCTGGTATCTCTGTGTGTCTGGTGAAGACTGTCGTGTTCTCTGTCGGTCTGATCATCATGGTGTCTGCTGTCATCAGTGTTCATATCATGGAGAAGCTCAAGAAGCACAAATAAACAATTCTCTACCAACCAGTTCCTTAACTTTATTTTGACATCTCAAAATATACAAACCAAGTAAACAAATACATTAACTGAAAATGTTGAGGAAAATACAAAAAGGTTAGAAAAAGAACTTTCCATTTCCACTGTGGAGCAATTTTTTTGACCACTAGCAGCATTATGGAGCAGTTGTTTTATGAGTGAGTGAGTCTCTGTTTTGTCTGTATTGTGCATGTCCAAGTCTGCACATTCCTGCCACTGATTTCATGCTATTTCACTGACGGACATTTGGTGGCTGTAACACACCAAGAAATGTAAGTAAAGGAAGCAGAAGTCTGAAAGTCAGAAAACGTGGATGTAACCAATGCAGGATATAAAATATTTGTGAAAATTGGCCCTTTCAAATGTTTTAGGAGGGAAATAAAAATAAAACAAATGCAGATAATTTTTCTTTGATTACCCATTGATTCTACCCAATAATGACTGTGCTCCCTTTGTAAATAAAATGATTGTACAGAGATGACCATGATAGAAAATGCTTTTATATTATATTGAAAAAAGAACAACAGCATACAATAAATGCTGTATGTAATACTGTGGTCCTATTTACAATATTCTCAAAAAGATCTCATGTATGTACATTTAATAAAATCCAATGTTAATGTGACCAAAACACTGGTAATTGACAATATTTAATCTTTTTCTTTAACTAAGTAAAGCACTTTCTGGTACATACACCATTGTTGGACACGAGTTAAAGCTGTAAAATTATCTTTTATGAATTAATGAAGTCAAAAGATCTTGTGTCACTGATCTCTTTTTACTTACTTTATACTGCTAAACTGCATTTCATTGTCTCAGTACTTGTACACAATGACAATGACAATAAAGTTTAATCCAATCTGAATCTAATATTGTGAGTTTTTCAGTAAGAAATCGATCAGAGCTCGTCAGAGTCAATGGAGGGACCACTGATACACTGAATGCGCAACAACAATGAATAACAATTATGAACTGAACTTTTATTGAAATGTTTTTCAACTCTACGAGGATAAAGCATTTGATTTTAAATGGGATTTTCAGTTGAAGTCTAAACTATTCAAGTACCTATAATTCTGCAACAGGAAATTTTGGTAAGGAGTTTTTGGTGCAAAACAAAAGTATGTTTGTTTTCATCTCAACATTACCTATTACTGTACAGACCTCAGGTGAGATCCCAGGGGGGAGGAAATGGGGCAGCTAAAGTTATATAAATGTAATGTGGTTAAGTAGTAGAAGTAAAGCTCTCACGTAAAGCAACATGTATTCTTTATGACCTGCAGACAAAAAAGAGAACACCGAAAATACCATATATGCAGTTACTACGGTATGTGTCAAGTTTTTTTTTAACATCACATAACTTGCCAGACAAACCAATGAAACCTGATGAAAAATGCCAAAAAATGTGTTTTACAGCTGTTTCAATTACGAAATTAATATGAAAAACATGCTTCTCACTTTTTGTAGCCAATGATACAAAAACATTTTTTTAGTTTTTGGTGGATATATATGAGCTCATGTGGATACTAAGATAACTTCAAATGTGTATGCAGTATAACAACACCATTAGAAATACAATGTAAAGTAAAAATGGCGAAAAAGGTTCACTAAAAATGTTGTATGTGATGTATTTTGCAGATGGAAGCTGTGGCCCAGCCTCCGGATCCAAGTTATGATACTCAGTATAAACTACACTGTCTCTTGTAGATTATTTATTTTAAGGGAATAATCATTCACAGAAAACTCAACTCTTCCAGTGTAAGGAGGAAGACTGTTGGTTCTCTATCAGGCGAAAATCTTACTAAAACATCCTTTTTATTGAAGTTCCACACAACAGAAAAAATGTCCTGAAGAACATCAGTTTTCATGACATTTAGAAGAACATCATTTCCCTTCTGCACAAACACAGTCACAGCACTGAACCCTGTAAAACACACATAATACAATAATAATTACACAATATATGATTATTTGGTCAATACTGAATGTTACTCCATTCCTAGTTCATGTCTGAAGCAGGCTTCATATTTCAACCAGTGACCATCATAGTCACTTTGGACTTCACATTATGATAACATTTACTTCAATATGTTCAGTATCCTAAGGCCTCTCTTATTTCCCAGTTTGTACATCCTCGCCCCCTCTCCTAGCATCTTAGTCCCTCCCACCAGAGATGTGAGCAGAGAAAGCGAGGAGTCAAGGCAACAGGCATTTAACAAATTAAGATGTCCTTATTTTCAGTCAACTACTGCACAGCTGCATCATCTTCCCATTGTTTTCTTATTGACTACTGCTGTATTTTACTCTGTCAGATGAGCAAAGCAGTGTTCATAACAGTAATTATAAATTTACTTTTAATTCAATTCATAACTTGGAATAATGTGATAAGAATGTAGTCTATGGATGTCATAATAATGTTCCCTACTGCGCCAAACTCACTTTAGGAAACAGGACATCTTAACAATGCTTAACATGTCCGTAACAACAAGGTACTCTATCATAAGATAAAGTGTGTCAGATGTCCACAGTCTTCTTGTCAATTAGGCAACAATGTAATCCATAAAGTTAAACTTTCTGACTATTCTTTCACTTGAACTTGCTACAGTGTCTGTTGTAAATTGGAGACTGTGGGATTGAGAGGCAGACCATATTATTTCTCACTAAAATAAGTGCTGGCTGTTGGATTAAATATATGCAGAATTAAAGACTCTGTTATTATGTGTTTGTTAGTGTTTGAGGAGTTTTAGCCATTGCAATAGTAACTACCTGTATGAAGGACAATGAAAAGACTTCCGCAATGGAAACACCTGTATATTCTCGCGTGAAATGATTGTATACTACATGTACTCCGGGGTGCTTCCCACAGCAATGGCCTCCCGTGGAAGAATCTGCAACTTCACTGCTCTGTGCCACTAAATCCTGAACTCTGATCCTTCAAACTGTTTTTAGTTAAATTCTACACAAAGAAGCAGGAAATATTTATGAAATGACTCAATTTTGTGTTTCTTTCCTTTTAAATTCTTAGAAATCAGTCCCTCTCTTTCGATATATAATCATTTGGTTAATGTTTTGCATGGTTAAACATACAAAGGAAGGCTCAATAATATTCTCTTCCCAACTTCCTGATAAAATAGCACATTGTATCAGACAGCACATACAGGCCTTGTGTTGTAATCGTAAAGTAAAATCTAAAGTCGTGGTTCTCAATTCATAAATCACAATAAAGAAGTCTGATGATGCATTGCTCTATCTGTTAATAACTTTTAATTAGACAGTGTCATCATCCTACCTGGTGCCTCAGTGCAGACCAGCAGTCCCAGTATCACAAAGATAGACATTATAGAGTCTCTGACTGGTTTCCCTGTCGGACTATATTTTATCAAAGTTAGCTTAAGAATAATTTCATCTTTGGTACCTGGGACAAAAGTTGTTTGAAGGAAGAAGAAAATACTGTAGTTTGTATAATAATGTAATGTGTTTGTTGTGTTAGTTCAGTTTTTGTTTCACTTTAACACTAGAATTCATCTTGATGGCTAACTGCACTTGAAACCACTTCCTGTTTTCTGCTCTATAATTAACACCTCTTGCATTTTACTGTGACATTCTCCTTCCTGCTCTCAAGAATATAATTGTTGGTTTGATCTGCTATATAATAATTCCTTTTTTCTCATATTTTCCCATAAGTCTGCAAAACGTACTGTTCATAACATCATTTTTGGAATGTGTTCTGCATTGTGTCCTGTAACATTATGGATAAACATAAGGTAGGCTGTTTTCTGTCTAAGAAACTGCTTTAGTGTCATGAAAAAATCTGAGAGCTGATCAGACAGAGACGCATTGCAGCAACTGGGTGAGCCTAAATGAAACCATGACAACATGACTCATGAATTCCCCCTTTTGCTCATCTCATCTACCAGTATCAAAACAAAAAGGAAGTAGTTAAGGCCACCTCTTAATTGATTTGATTGGCTGCCTGGGTCTTTTTTATAAACATAAATCATAAATGATCAAAAGAGTAAGTAAAAGTACTTCACCCTAAAATGTAATTCTTGAGCTTGCAATATACCATCTACCATAAGACTACCATTGCTGTGGTCCCCCCTCCCCAAGTTGCTTTAAAAGACAAAGCACTTCCTTATTTGTCGCATGTCAGAATGGAGACCATTTCGTATGTGTGTGCTGTTTTCCTGCTGTATCTGTGTCAACTGCAAGGTAAAACACACTTTTTATATTTAATTAATATTTTGTTTTATGTTCTGTAGAACTAAATCAGTGAAGAATGGGAGAAGTGGAATATAGATCAGAGGGTGAGGATAATTGACCATTATCATCTCAACTGGTGTAATTACTTAATTAAATAAATAAATATATAAATGTAAATTGATTAATTAAAATTGGAATTAAATACATAAATGTATCATTAATTAATTCAAATACCGATTCATTTTATTTAAAAAACATATATAATTATTTCACTATCTATTTAATTGTTTCATGGTCCTGTGTTGCAGTGCTTCATTAATTACTTTTATCTGTCAAACTCGCCCAATTTTAATGAATTAATGACACATTAGTAATTATTTCATATAATAAAGTGTTTTTGATTCAATTAATAGCATATGATAATTGAAGCAGTCTGAGTTAGCTAAATCAAGTGGATTATTTGTTTTAATTGATAGTGACAGGAAAGGGGGGGGCTGCAGGTCGGATTCGAACCCTAGGCCAGTACAGCAAGGACTCAGCCTTGTGTGGAAACATGGTACATGGGGCATCGGTAAAAGGAAGTCCTTTTTGTATGAAGTTTTGCCTTTGTGTTACTGTACTGTGTAAGATTAGATTAGAAACAAAATACAAAGCAGTTTAAACCTTGCTGTACTGTATATGATGGATTACAGTACATCTTGTAAAATTGAAACTTCCTTATAACCAAGTGAGATACACAAACAAAGAAATAGGCTACAGGAATCCCAGCAGTTATTCAAATGAAACGTACAATGCAAACTGATATTACATTGTAATGTGGAAGAAGAGAGACTCTCATTGTCCATATTTGCAGAAGTGTTGCTGCTTATAACTGCTGCTTACCCATTTCTTTTGTGGTTTGATCAGTGTTAGACCAGTTCATGGGCTGTGTTCACACAGTTTCCACCTACACTTTTCTTTGTATAGTGTTCATGAAAAATCGAATGCCATATACGTATATGTACACTGAACAAAATTATAAACACTTTTGTTTTTGCCCCCATTCGTCATGAGCTGAACTCAAAGATCTAAGACTTTCTCTATGTACACAAAAGGCCTATTTCTTTTAAATATTGTTCACAAATCTGTCAAAATCTGTGTAAGTGAGCACTTCTCCTTTGCTGAGATAATCCATCCACCTCACAGGTGTGGCATATCAAGATGCTGATCAGACAGTATGGGTATTGCACAGGTGTACTTAGGCTGGCCACAATAAAAGGCCACTCGAAAATGTGCAGTTTCACTGTACTGGGGGGTCCGGGGGGGGTCCGGAAACCAGTCAGTATCTGGTGTGACCACCATTTGCCTCACGCAGTGCAACACATCTCCTTCGCATAGAGTTGATCAGGTTGTTGATTGTGGCCTGTGGAACGTTGGTCCACTCATCTTCAATGGCTGTGCGAAGTTGCTGGATATTGGCAGGACCTGGAACACGCTGTCGTATACGCCGATCCACAGCATTCCAAACATGCTCAATGGTTGACATGTCCGGTGAGTATGCTGGCCATGCTAGAACTGGGATGTTTTCAGCTTCCAGGAATTGTGTACAGATCCTTGCAACATGGGGCTGTGCATTATCATGCTGCAACATGAGGTGATGGTCGTGGATGAATGGCACAACAATGGGCCTCAGGATCTCAACACGGTTACTCTGTGCATTCAAAATGCCATCAATAAAATGCACCTGTGTTCGTTGTCCATAACACACGCCTGCCCATACCATAAGTGCAGATACACAGAGCTCCTTTTTGGCCAAGCAGCCCGTTTGTTTTTGACCATTTCCTGGACCTGTAGCAGAGATGTAACATTAGACACCAGTGGGGGAGTCACTCTAGCTTGATTGACAGGTTGCCACAGACTTGTCAATCATAAGGTAGCCCCACCCTAAAGCATACCCTGCTTTATTGTCTATTTTCCTCTAAATAGGATCGGAAGTTACACCTTTAAATGAACATCATGCTGTGTTTAAAAGGACTTGAAACTTACAATTAAGATCAAAAACTCATAAGAAAAATGTTTAATGAGATAACAGTCAGGTGGGAAACTTATTTTGTCATTATTTCTGATGGAACTGGGCTTCTTTATCTAGTGAAGTCGCCCTCTGCTGGCTGTTGGAAAGAATGCAGGCTTACTCTGCACTCGATTGCTTCTTCCTCAAGGACCTTGACCTGTCTGTGACCTTAAAAGTGAATCTTGTGGATTGAAATTGAATTGAGAGAACTGAATTTGAATTGAGAGAACTGAAAGTACATAAAAAGTTGAATTTTAGGTGAGGCTCAAATACAGTTTCAGTTGCAAGTGAATTCAGATTCATAATATTATATTCAGTTTCAAGTTTATTGGAATTCAGTTTCAAACTAATACATTCAAATTCAAATTATGATATTCAGATTAAGTTTTTCAATGCAATTATTCAAGTTGTGCAATCCAGATTCACTTCTAAATGATTCAAATTCAGTTTCTACTGACACAAAAATCAGCCCATAGAAATAGGCCTTTTTGTACATAGAGAAAGTCTTAGATCTTTGAGTTCAGCTCATTCTGAATGGGGGCAAAAACAAAAGTGCTGCGTTTATAATTTTGTTCAGTGTAGTTAAACATAAATGTGAAAAGTGGTAACCCGAAAGCACACAAATATTGTTTTTTTTTACCCAAGAGAGGGCAACAGAAAGTGTAGTGGAAAGATACCTCCCTCCAAGCATCACTGCAGTTGAGACATGTGTGAGACGTATGTCTCAATTTGGTGGCAAAATAAAAATCAACAAGACGCAGACACGGTCCTTGTGAACCACAGGGAATTCTGTTGGGGAACAGCTGCACCAAACACGACTGGCTCAGACCAAGGGTTAAATATAAAAGCATATGATTTATTAATTAAAAAACTTAAATATTTTGCACTCAGGTGTCCATACAGTCTTTGCAGGTTGTAGGTTTTCTGACAGGAGCCTCCAACGCAATAAGGAATTTAAGGCAGTTACAGAAGTACACCTTCACCTATTGTTACAGATTCCTACCTGGGTATTTACATGCTCTGCTTATCAGCAGGTGTTTTGTTCTACTATAGTGGCTTCTCAAACATAAGTAAAAAGAACATAACACAGCAATACAAACAAAATAACAAGTTACTCAAGTAAATATGCACAAATAATACACAAGAATAACTCCAAACCACAACACTAACCAAACTAAACCAAACCTACTATGCAGACTAGAATAGCTGAGCTGTAAGGGAAATGTTTCTATGTGCACATTTGTGCTAATTATTTATTTCATTACCTCTAGCAAGCAGTTTTATTCTGGAGTAGTTTTGAAGAACTGACTTTTCTAAACACAAATGGAACTAGATAAAGTCTTTCAGTGCCTTTAAAGACAACTCATATGACAGCAACAACATTTTGTATCTGTGTGGATAGTGTTAGGTGACTAAAACAGCTTTGCTAAGGTTAGGGTAAGATAGTGGTTAAACGAAACATTTTTCATTAGAATAATTTAAAAGGGCTATAAACAGGCACATGGTCCTTATTTAAAATCCATCTTTCTGTGTGGAGTTTGCATGTTTTCCTTGTGTTTGTAGTTTATTTTATTTTATTTATTTTATTTTTGTTGAATTGCATGTGAATGAGTGAAAAATAATGTGGGTAAAATAAAGTCCCCAGTTTTCCAAAAGAGACTGAATGGACTGTTATGTTGAAAATAAAAATAAAAACTTTATGTAACATCTTACTTTCATTGGACCTTTGTTAAACTCCTCTATATCAATTCAAGGCACTTTTAAAGACATTTTCCAACCCTTGATGAACCATGATAAGATGAAGGTGCTTCTTCATTTCAACAGATGATCCAGTTAGTTAGACATATAGTAGGAATGGACTAACATTCAGTATTGACCAAATAATCATATATTGTGTGTAATTATTATTGTATTATATGTGTTTTTACAGGGTCCAGTGCTGAGACCCCTGTGTTTGTGCAGAAGGGAAATGATGTTCTTCTGAATGTCGAGAAAGCTGATGTTCTTCAGGACGTTTTTTCTGTTGTGTGGAAGCTTAATGAAAAGGATGTTTTAGTAAGATTTTCACCTGGTAGAGGACCAATAGTCCTCTCTAATTACAATGGAAGAGTTGAGTTTTCTGTCAATAATTATTCTCTGAAAGTGAAGAATCTACAAGAGGCAGACAGTGGAGTTTATACTGCACAAGTGACAAGGGATATAGAGGAACTAACTGAATACAATGTCACAGTTCAAGGTAGGTTTGTGAACATTTCAGACACTAATAAAGAGTTTCTGCTGTCATGTTTCTAAAACATTTCACACAAACCTTCCATCCTCAGATGCAGTGTCTCCAGTTAAACTGAAGGTGGACTCTGTGTCCAGAAGCTCAGACTCCTGTAACCTCACTGTGACCTGCAGTACACAGGACTCTCACATCAGCAGCGCTATTAGATGTGACACCAAAACCTGCAGTCAGGAGGGAGGAGAGCAATCAGAGGTCACAACATCTGGTGCTTCTCTCCATGTCTACCTGGTGAATCACTCAATCATCTGTAACCATAGCAACCAGGTCAGCTGGACCAAAGACATTGAAATGACTGAACATTTCTGCACTCAACATGATGGTAATACTGAAAAACAAAATGACTAATTGATAATAATGCACAGATTGGAATTAGATTTAACTGACTGTAAGAATTTTGTTTTTAAAGTAAATAAGTTATGAACATGAATAATCCACCCTGTGTGGCTGAAGGGTTGAAATACAAACTAAAGTAGAAAGTACAGAAAGGAAGAGAGTTCTGGTGGCCAAAATTACCTCACTGAGTTGAACAATTAAGTGTAGAATTTTTGGTGCAAAACAAAAGTATGTTTGTTTTCATCTCAACATTGCCTATTACTGTAAACTGCTGTAAACATTATTTATGTTGTTTGACTTAAGCCATGCATCATTTTCATACAACATCACTGTTCAAGGTAGGTTTGTGAACATTTCAGACACTAATAAAGAGTTTCTGCTGCCATGTTTCTAAAACATTTCACACAAACTTCCATCCCCAGATGCAGTGTCTCCAGTTGAACTGAAGGTGGACTCTGTGTCCAACAGCTCAGACTCCTGTAACCTCACTGTGACCTGCAGTACACAGGACTCTCACATCAGCAGCACTTTTAGATGTGACACCAAAACCTGCAGTCAGGAGGGAGGAGAGCAATCAGAGGTCACAACATCTGGTGCTTCTCTCCATGTCTACCTGGTGGATCACTCAATCATCTGTAACCATAGCAACCAGGTCAACTGGACCAAAGACATTGAAATGACTGAACATCTCTGTCCTCAACATGCTGGTAAGACTGAAAGACAAACCCCTTGCTGATAATAATGTACAGTTTGGAATTATATTTAACTGATTGTAAGCGTTTTGTTTTTAAAGTAAATAAGTAATAAACATGAATAATCCACCCTGTGTAGCTGAAGGGTTGAAATACAAACTACAGTAGAAAGTACAGAAAGGAAGAGAGTTCTGGTGGCCAAAATGGCTTCACTGAGTTGAACAATTAACTGTAGAATTTTCGGTGCAAAACAAAAGTATGTTTGTTTTCAAACAAAAGTATGTTTGTTTTCATATAAACATTACCATGACTAAAGCCAGGCATCATTTTATTTTTCATTAAAACATTTTTGATTTTCTAGATTTTCTAATCTTTTTCTTTCCAGTTGCTGAACAACCCCACAACAACATCATTGCCATTGTCATTGTCATGGTGCCTGTTGCAATTGTTTTTATCATCATTGTTGCTGCGTGTTTTTATCTTCGAAAGAGAAGAACATGTCCAGGTGTGCATTTTAATATTGAATTGCAAAATAAAATCTATAAATGCTATTTGTTTATCATCTATATACACTCTCCCTTTATTAGAAAATGAAATTACAGTAATCATATAATTAACCCTTCATACAGTTCACAGTATGGGAATACACAATTGTTCACTCTTTACCATAGTCATTCTTATATGTAGTTGTTTTTTTTATGTGATTATTGCTTATTACAAATTAGTCAATTACCAGAACTGATTTTTCACTGTAGAAAAACGAGACAATCTTAGAGTTAGTACGATCTTGGTTTAGCCCATTTACTCTTAGCATCTCGCGGCCAGATCTCAGGTGAGATCCCAGGGGGAGGAAATGGGGCATCAGCTCTAGGAATCACTGGCATCACAATAAATACAAATCCTAAACATAGAAGCTTTAAAGTGTGCTGCTGTGTGGAGTTATTTAGACACATCCAAAATCTGGAATCAATGTATAGATGCAGCTAAAGTTATATAAATGTATTGTGGTTAAATAGTAGAAGTAAAGCTCTCAAAATGAAACGTAAATTAAAGCAACACGTTTTATTTATGACCTGCAGATAAAAGAGAGAACACCGAAAATACCATATATGCAGTTCCAAAGGTAAGTCACATTTTTTTAGCATCACATAATTAACCAGACAAACCAGGGAACAGAATTTTTCAGATTTTGAATAATTAGCAATTGTGACTGGATTTGAGGAAACAGGCCAAAAAAGAAATGTTTTCAGAATCAAAAGTTGGAGCCTCACATACTTCTATTGGCTACCCCCTGTCCGCTCCAGTCACTATACATTTTACTGACAAGGTGGTGATATTTACTGTACATGACCTGTGACTCCTCGCGACTAACTTCTGCATCTACCTGCTGTTCCAGGTCGTGTTGCTTTCTCCCACATGCACACGTCACTGGTTGTTCTGCTTCCTTGTGCTCAAATGTCCTGCTTCTGACCAGATAAACCTGATGATGCACCATCCACTCAAACTGCACTGTGTTTCTTTATTCTGCTCGTGTTGTTTGCTTATGTTTTATTATAGTTTTTGATGCAGTTTTAGAAACAAAAGCTTAATTTCTGAGCATACTGTAAGTGTCACAAACACTAAAACAGCAAATACATGTTCCAAAAGGTGTTGTGTTATCAAAACTCTTCATACAATTATTAATTAAGAAAAAGAGCCAATACTGCAACAATGTCTTTTACTTTATGTCCTGTATTTTCTTCTCTGTTTGCTTCTGTTTGTTGGCTCACATTAGGCAACACAGGCAACGTGACTTCATACTGAGCCACAGATGTTGTACTTCTGCATATTCTTACACACTGAATGTTGAGAATATTGTGAGCAGAAGACTCTTTTGTGAAATCTGCACTCAAGAAGAGAAATTGTGTAATTTTTTATAAATGCAACGTACTGCATGTGTTGTCAAAGCCGTGTGAATGCTTTCTTTATTTGCTTGAGTTCTAGTTTCTGTGTGTTGTAATTGTCACATCTTTTTGGACACAGTGAAACAATGTTCAGTGCCTTACTGCTCTTGATGAAAAATGCCTAAAAATGTGTTTTACAGCTGTTTTATGCATTTTAGATAAAATCACAAATTGATTATAATGTTATGAAAATCATTCTTCTCACTTCTCACTATTATACATTTTGTAGTTTTTGATGGATATCTGTTAATAGTGAGATTACCTCACATGTTTATGCAGTATAACAACACCATTAGAAATACAGTGTAAAGTAAAAATAGCAACAACAACAACCTTTACTTTAACCTTTAAAAATGTTGTATGTTATGTATTTTGCAGATGGAAACTGTGGCCCAGCCTCCAAATCCAACTAGTGATGTTTCAGATCCTTCTACACTGTACTCCTTGGTGGGAACTCACACTGGACCGACTGAGACTAGAGGCAACACTTTACCAGAGAGCTTGTATGCTCAGATAGAAAAGCCTGCCAGGTCCTGAAACAGTTCATCAAGAAGTGTCCACATACTGCAGGTTCCTGTTTGTATGCTGGTGACACTGGATGCACCCACCGTTACACCTTGTACAGTATGTATCATAGTTTACATACGGAGAGTTGAAATTTCCACTTATGTGACCTGTTCTATTTTAAACCGAATAAGGAAATGTTACTAAGCATCACACACATTCAGAAGTTCCTCTTTAAATTCATCATTAGGTCCTATATGAATTCAAACCTCATGAAGAGCCGTTTTAGTATCAATTATGGAAGGAAGCCTCAGCTTGGGGACCTGGGGATCACTGCAGATCGTTTAAAAGCTTCAGAACAATTATATTATGTATATATTTGTATTTTTGTTATATTCTTTGTAAATTATATGTCATTGTTTACAATACTTAATAAACTTTTGTTATGTAGATTAGTTTGAAGCTTGTATATTGACAACCAAAGACAATTGGAACAGAATTCAATGTAAATAATTTCCTGTCAGGGATATTATTCTAGGTACTTGAATAGTTTATTGTTTATAAAAACAGACAAATATTAATACAAAATATTCAACTGAAAATCCCATTTAAAATCAAATGCTTTATCCTTGTAGAGTTGAAAAACATTTCAATAATTGTTCCGCTCAGTTCATAATTGTTATTCATTGTTGTTGTGCATTCAGTGTATCAATGGTCCCTCCGATGACTCTGACGAGCTCTGATCGATTTCTTGCTGAAAAACTCAAAATATTAGATTCAGATTGGATTAAACTTTATTGTCATTGTCATTGTGTACAAGTACTGAGACAATGAAATGCAGTTTAACAGTATAAAGTAAGTAAAAAGAGATCAGTGACACAAGATCTTTTGACTTCATAAATTCATAAAAGATAATTTTACAGCTTTAACTCGTGTCCAATAATGGTGTATGTACCAGACAGTGCTTTGCTTAGTTAAAGAAAAAGATTAAATATTGTCAATTATCAGTGTTTTGCTCACATTAACATTGCATTTTATTAAATGTACAGATATTAAATAAATTGTATGCTGTTGTTCCTTTTTCAATATAATATAAAAGCATTTTCTATCATGGTCATCTCTGTACAATCATTTTATTTACAAATGTAGCGCAGTCATTATTGGGTAGAATAAATGGGTAATCAAGAAAAATAACAGCACTTGTTTTTTTTCATTTCCCTTCTGAAACATTTTTTTACAAATATTTTAAGATTGTAGACTTGGACATGCACAGTTCGAATAAAACAGGGACTCACTCACTCATAAAACAACTGCTCTATAATTCTGCTAATGGTTAGAATTTTGCGTTATTCTCAACATTTTCAGTGAATGTATTTGTTTATATGCTTTGTATATGTTGACATGTCAAAATAAAGTTAAGGAATTGGTTGGTAGAGAATTGTTTATTTGTGCTTCTTGAGCCTCTCCATGATATGAACACTGATGACGACAGACACCATGATGATCAGACCGACAGAGAACACGACTGTCTTCACCAGACACACAGAGATACCAGCAGAGACACACTCTGAACCTGAAACACAACAAAACAGCTAGTTTAATTACAAAACTGATCTACACTGTGACACTACAGCAACAGGAGTGGAAGCAATTAAACTGAGTCATTTAATTCTTGTTATCAATTTTCAGTTCAATTCAATTCAGTCCAAATGGGATTAATTGGCATAAACAGACATTTAAATTGAAATCAGTAAAATCAGAATCATAAATACTTTATATATAATTATAAACACAAATATATCTATATACTGATAAGTAAGAAAAAAAACGTTACTTCTTGCTGCATGTTGAGGGCAGAGATGTTCAGTCATTTTAATATCTTTGGTCCAGTTGACCTTGTTGCTATGGTTACAGATGATTGAGTTATTCACCAGGTAGACATGGAGAGAAGATGTTGTGAACTCTGATTGCTCTCCTCCCTCCTGACTGCAGGTTCTGGTGACACATCTAAAAGTGCTGCTGATGTGAGAGGCCTGTGTACTGCATGTCACAGTGAGGTTACAGGAGTCTGAGCTTCTGGACACAGAGTCCACCTTCAGTTTAACTGGAGACACTGCATCTGAGGATGGAAGTTTGTGTGAAATGTTTTAGAAACATGACAGCAGAAACTCTCTATTAGTGTCTGAAATGTTCACAAACCTACCTTGAACTGTGACATTAGCAGTATAAACTCCACTGTCTGCCTCTTGTAGATTCTTCACTTTCAGAGAGTAATCATTCTCAGACAACTCAACTCTTCCAGTGTTAGCAGGGAGGACTGTTGGTTCTTTACTAGTTGAAAATATTATTGAATTTATTGAAGTTCCACACAACAGAAAAAACGTCCTGAAGAACATCAGCTTTCTTGAGATTCAGAAGAACATCATTTCCCTTCTGCACAAACACAGGAGTCACAGCACTGGACCCTGTAAAAACACACATAATAGCATAAAGTTACACACAATATATGATTATTTGGTCAATACTGAATGTTACTCCATTCCTAGTTCATGTCTAAAGCAGGCTTCATATTTCAACCAGTGACCATCATAGTGTTACATTAAGAAATTAAGTTTATCAAGGCTTGTTTTTCTACTGTTGCTCCTGTGGGAAAAAGTGCTTCACCATTCTTGTCTAAACTACCACAACTGCTTACTTAGCCTACTTAAAAACATTAAACTTTCTTCAACCTTTTCCTCCTTTTTTCCTCCTTCTCACCCACACTAATGTAGACCAACTTTGAGGCTTTGCTTCCTCTGCCCATGTGTCAAATAGGCTTTGAGCAAGACCTGAGTGTGTATATGAGAGAAACATGCAAGTCACTTTGGATCTCACATTATAATAACATTTACTTCAATATATTCAGTAGGCTCATTTCCCAGGTTGTACATCCTCTCCTTGCCCCCTCTCCTAGCATCTTAGAACAAGAATTTCGTTTTTTTCTGAGTTTAACATCAGAAAATTGCAGGTCATCCAGGATTTTATGTCCTTAAGACATGTTTGTAATTTAGATAATTGATTAATTTCATCGGGCTTGATTGATATAACTGCGTACTATCTGCATAACAGTGAAAGTTAATGGAGTGATTCCTAATAATGTTGCCTAAAGGGAGCATATATAAAGTAAATAGTATTGGTCCAAGTACAGAACCTTGTGGAACTCCATGACTAACTGTAGTATTTATTGAAGATTCATCGTTAACATATACAAACTGCGAGCGATCTGATAAATATGACTTATAGGGCTTAGCGGCCACATAAGTGGACAGCACTTTTTAGCTCTTATGTCCACAATTGTGTTCACTTTTGAATTGGGGGTGTTATGGTACGAATATGGGTACTTACACTACCATATGGTGGTGTCAGAAATTTCTATCACACTACG